CGTCGTTATCTTCATTGGAGACCTGAGCAATGGTTAAAAGTGATGTGGAGCGACAAGAGCACGTTTCAGATGTTTTCCAACCGAAGGGAAAGGGTCCGTAGGCCTAGTGGCTCTGACCCTTTTGCCCCCAAGTACACATCTAAAACTGTGAAACATCCTGAATCTGTCATGGTTTGGGGCTGTTTCAGTGGCCTTATGGTTAGAGGGGGTTTGTATTTCCTCCCAAAAAACGACACAATGAATGGTGATCGCTACATCGAGTGTTTAAAGGATCATTTGGTGCTGCCCTATGAAATTCATGGAACATCAATTTTCATGCATGACAAGGCTCCCTGCCACATGTCCAATAAAGTGAAGACTTTCCTTGCAGAGAAGGGTTTGAGGTCCTGGAATGGTGTGGAAATAGCCCTGATCTTAATCCCACCGAGAATGCATGGAAACACATGAAGAGTAAGCTGAGAATTGAGAATTTGACATCGCTTCCAGAATTAAAAAAGGAAATTAAACGAGTCTGGATTCAGGAGATGGACGTTCAATATTTTGAAAACTTAGCCAGGAGTATGCCAAATCGCCTTGAGAGGGTCCTGAAGGCAAAAGGTCAAATGACTAAGTATTAAAACAAATTTTAAGGTAATTATTTATTTTTTATTTCACCTTCATTAGGCTTTGTAGATGAATTTCACATTTTATTTTTTAGGTGCCAGTTTTTATTGCGCTTACTGTACTTTGAATTATCGGCCTTTTTTGTTCTTGGATTTGGCCGATTCTAGGCAACCTGAATTATGTACCACTACCTCCTGGAGAAATACATTTTGTGGTGCACATATGTACCAATACGTCAGTCAACGTGTTAACATTCAAAGATTACTAGAAGTCTAGAACCAGGTCATGGAAAGTCGTGGATTTTTTTTTTCTAAATACCGGTACGCACCCTGATATAAATGAGTGGAATAATACAAATAGAAGTGAAAAAGCTTGGTACAAAGTTTTTCCTTTACTAAATTGTCTCAGCAATGGACCAATTTTGTCACTTTTATTGGAAAACCATCATTTCTAGTTTTTTCCTATGAGCCAATTTCATAGATTTTATTACCATTAGATGATTTATCATGATTAGAAAGCTCTTGTTGTAGCCTTGTAGGCTATCTATTCTAACTTAATAATAAAATAAAACATTTTGGTTGAGACTTTGATCAAGGAGGGTGGGGAAAATGGGCGTGACTGACAGATATGAATAGTATAAATTCACTAAAAGGCCGTATTGAACAGAATAAATTCAAGTTTGATAAATAAATTATAAATTAATGATGAATTAGTGATGAATAAAAAATTATGAAAAATAATGCAAAAATTATGAGAAATGAATGGAAGTTCATGGGAAAGTCATGGGGAATTTTTATAGTAAGATGATGGGAAAATTATGGGAAATGATAGGAAATTGATATACAGAAAATAGAAATTACAGAAAATGTCATTTATTCTACATCCACATCTACAAAGAAAGAGGAGGACTTTAGAGTAATGTTAGTATGATTAGATTGTCAGTAATTCTGTCTCGAAATTATATTATATTTTATAGAACACAGTCTGTGGGTGAATTAATTCGTAAATTGAGTTATGAAAGTTGAGAAAATTAGAAACTTCAAGTAAAGTGTTGAGAAGGCTACACAAATTTGGGGTAAAACTGTGTAAAGCTTGCATAAGGTGCTATTGTTCTCAAGACCATTAGACCGAGGGTTTGTTTATAGTTTGAAATGGCGAGGGTATCAAAGGTGCTGACCTTGTGGAACTCACAACTGTCGTGGCATCACTTTGAGGGTAGGTATAGGCTTAACTGTGCATGACTGCTCCCTATATAAGGACCTCAAAATTGGCGCCAAGGGTTGTTGGTTCTACGGAGGTGACTGTCACGCAAGCATGGTCTGCAGTCAGCGGACTGTATTTAGCGGCCGTGAGGCCAGCGGTGTTACCATTTTCAAACATTGACGGTCACGAGGAACCTGGACTTATCGAAGCAGCCAAGAGTCCGGTGAGCATGTCAAGAAAATCAACATCAACACTACAGCTGCGACTCAGCCGTGACACAATGCGAGAGGGCCACGAGTTGTACAATGATAAATGATTATAACGCATGTCATCAGAAGATTTAAGTTCAATTTCTACACTGGGAGTTATCATTGGTACGGTCATCAGTACAATATGGTCACAATTTCCATCAAGAAGAAGCGGTACGGTCAGTCATCTTCAGCCGTAGTACAGCAACGAGTTTGGAATAATATCATTGACGAGTAAGACTGTGCCACTATTCCGAAGTACGGTCGTTGTAAAACAACCTACGGCCAGACTGACCGTGAGGCATCTGTAGCAGCAAGACACAATAGTTATGAAGAATAGCGATCGTGAGGTTGCACGGCTACAGCGGCAGTACAACCACTTGGAATACGGCTGCAAACGTGCGGCTACAGCTGCGGTACGGTCGCTGAACATACGGCCGTAAATGAGTGCGTGAGTTACGGTCGTTTACAACAGTCGTACGGCTCAATGGAACTGCAATGTATCAACATTTTCTGGTAAAATTATATGCTTTTTATGATGTAAACTGGTAGTTTTCAGACTTTTGATTGTGTTTAGATTACCTATGTCAAGTGCTAAAGATTTTTGTTAACATTGGATGTGAACTTGAATTTTCCAATTTATGTGAAATGTAGCAGTGTTTCATTACAACCCTCTCTTTGCACTATTTTGCCGTAACCTATTCATACCAGAACTTAGTCACATGCCTATCAAGCGCCACTCGGTGATAACCTGATGAAATGATAAGTAATAAATATCTTGAATGTGAACCTGAACGAAACGTAAAATTGGTGGAGGAATTACTCCGATTCTCCAACTTTAATATAATGACATGATAGAAACTAATTATTTTTATTTATTTTTTTCCTATTCTAGTCAAGTAGGTAATGGATGAGTACACTCTGCATGCTTCAAACATTTTAAAATTAGGTTTTATTAAGTTTGTCCCTAATTATCCCATTCCCAGGGGTAATTCGTGACGCTTTTATTTTGCGTCTGGCACCTGGCATAGGTATAGCTTATGGAATTTTTTCAGAGACGCCATACAATAGCCCTTGCAAAAGCCTTTAAAATAAGCCTAAACTTGTTTATGGAATATTTGAAGGTAAGAAGTTGTTAACAAAAAATTCTCAAACTCCATTATTACGGCGTTTGATGCTGATGGTACTGCACACTTGGTGCACAGGATGGATAGAGCATAAGTTAAGGAAAATGTGTATTTTTGACAGACCCTCTGACAATGAAAATGGCAATGTAGAGCTCTATAGATTAAAACATGAATAATTGTGATTTTTAAGGATGGTTTTTACCTATTGCTACACTTATGTAACAAGAATATGTTTTGGGGTAAATTTTCATATGTAAGATTTAATTTCATATTATCAAAACTTTCTTATGGCCCTGATGCATATGAAGATGATAAGATTCAGCCATGAAACAGAGCAGTTTCTAATTTTTTTTTGCCTGTTGGAACCTCAGAAAAGTCCATATGTATTTTTGGGAATTTTTAAGAAATTTACTATTTATTTATATTTTTGAAATTTTCAAATGACTCAAATAATGATGAATCAACCTAGGTGGTCCAAAATTTGGCATATACTGTTTATGGCACAGACTAAATTTTTTCCACAACTATTGCACTAATGTGAAGTAGGTACCATTACCAAAAAATGTACTCCAAAAAGTATGTTGATGTACATAGAATTCTAATAGTCTATTGATTTCTAACTAATCATAGGTGAGTACCGTAAAATGGGGTAACTTTGACCACTTTTTTTCAAAATGATGCCATTTTTTTACTAGATAAGTTAAACTTGAATTGAAACATGCAAAATACCGTAAAATGGGGTAACTTAGACCACTTTTTCTTTTATAAATGATGCCATTTTTTTACTAGCTAAATTAAACTTGAATTGAAACATGCAAAATACAGGTCTATACTCTAGCTTCACTCACCATAAATTGCTGGCTCCTGCCTCTCATAGTTTTTATGTAATTTAAAAAAAATGATGGTCTTTGTTACCCCAGCTCTTGGGGTTTCTTTGACCGGGTGGTAAAATCTATTTTATTTTTTAGTAAAATAACTCCCAAATAACTCCAGGTTGTGGTGCATTGTAGTAGAACTCTTCTAGTTACATATGCAAAAGACGAATTTTAGGAAAGTGTCATAGTTACCAAATGGGGGGTGCCGCCCCCAAATAGGCAAAATGTGACCATCTAATGACAGCCGTGACGGGGTAACATAGACCGGTTTGGAAATTAAGTTAAAATTACCATATATAAGACACTGTAGAGTCTGAAACATAAAGAAAAAAACATTAATAGGTGTATCAAACATAAAATATGTTATATAGGTACCTATGGTAATTTTAACTTAATTTCCAAGCCGGTCAATGTTACCCCGTCACGGCTGCCATTAGGTGGTCAGAGTTACCCCATTGGGGGGTGGTGCCTCTCATTTGCAAACCATGACACTTTTCTAAAATTTGTCTTTTGCGTATGTAACTAGAAGAGTTCTACTACAATGCATCAAAACCTGGAGTTATTTTACCAAAAAATGAAAAAATTGGAGGGGGTACTCCGACAGGCTTTAAATAATAGCTCATTTTGTGGGTCACATTTTTGATTCTTTAACCTATTAGATATGCAAACTTTTTAAATCTTTCTATTGTGTTACGTAGCCTCAGTATTAGGCCTTTGATGGCCATTGACAAAATTTTTCTATGTCGAATCGTTTTTGAGTTTTGGGGTTTTTTGTTAAAAAAATGAAAAGTGGTCAAAGTTACCCTGCCGGTCAAAGTAACCCCATTTTATGGTATTGCTAAAAGGGTCTTTCATTTTATCATTTTCATGTACTGGTAGCTAAAAATGTTATTGTTTACTATTTACGTTTCATTCAAACTAAATACGAGTACCTATTTTACTTTTGCTCTAAAGACTTCATACATTCCAGGAATGATAGATGGAAGTGTTCCAGGAATTGAGAAGTGTTTCACCCAAGAACAGCTAGCTCTCTACGAATATTTTCTACAATCTGGTTACGGTTGAAAAGTTTCCTGCAAGATAGCAGAAGTGCCTGCTGCCAAAATGGATCGGCAAAATACCGATCCACTTTTCCCAGATTATGATCCGTTCTCAACAGGCGAATATTCTTCTCTTAGTGAAATATCTGACTTGATAAGCCTGCCTGGATCAGGAGATATTGTTTTTGATGAAAGTTTTGGTGGATTGCCCGGTCTCTCTGGGTTCTCAACTGGATCTGAGAATGGATCAACCCAGCAAGGCTTTGGCATGTGTCATGTCAGTGCATCTCAGGTGGAGACTTGATGAAAATTTAACTGCTTAATCCTTTGCAATTATTTTCTTGAGCCCTAATTTTTTTTTGCACGATTGCTAGCTGGTAAACCTGGTCTATTTTAAACAAAATTTTCATGTGATTGTGTATGTATATACAGTGCCATTCATGTAACACAATATCTTATTTATGCCATTCTATTATCTGTTCACATAAGGCCTTGAAATTAATGCAAATTTTTATCTTGTCTAACATTTATTCTACAGTTTTTACCCATGCTTGTGTGTTCCTGGCATGTTTCTTTTCAGCCACTTTTAATTTGTACCTGAAAGCATTATGGATTATTCACTTCTATAAATCAGTTCCATCTTTTTCAGGATTCACACAGCCCAAAAGTCAATGCAAGAGCAGGAGCCGCTGGCCCTGTGGCTAATGCTGCCACTGAGTACATCAAACTTCCTCCTAATACATTGATACAATTTGTGGATGGTCTAGGTAAGCTATTTTTGTCTAATTTCTGTCTAATTTTTTTTATTTTTGTGTTTAGTCACTGGATTTCATGAGGCTCCATCTACAAAACATACCAATACTGAAATTCTGTTGAACCTTTTGCAGGATGAGATAATTAATCTGAAATTAAGAAAATTCAAACTCCTCTGAATGGGCTTCCAACAAATCTGGTATATTTTGAAAGTTTAAATTATACTTCTGTACTTTTATTACATTGTTGTATGTTGTGATGGTGTCTTGTCTCATAGGATTGGGAGTTTTGTTAAGCTTTTTAATTCAACAATTTTTTCTTAATTCATTCAAAGCTTTTTTTTTTGTTGGAAAATAAAAACAATTTCCATGCACCAAAAGATTGTTTTGCTGTAATTTTTCCTTGTTCATTTCTTGCTTTGTGCTTCACGATAGTAGGTACTATACTCAATTGGTCATCCATAACTCATTCTGATTTTTTGCCCAGGGCTCTATGCTATGTCATGCAACTATGCATTAAAGCTTATGGTCTACCAATTAAATAGTCTTTAGAACTATAATTTAAGCTTTGACCTACCATTCAAAGCTAGTTAACCTCCTCAAGATAGCTTTTGATAACTGCTGTACAAAATTATACATATTTTAGGGTTTGAATTTTTAACTAGGAATTTAATTTTTCACTATATCCTAAACCCTACCAATTGATCCTCAATAAATTTATGTCTATGAAATTTGTTCAATTGAAATTAGGGGCAGTTGAGGCAAAAACTATTGTGCCATGGAGAAAAGTTTAGGTTTACCGTATCTCAATGTTGTTAATATAACAGTGATTGTCCCAACACTGTTTCGTGATATGTATTTATATCTGTGGTTTAATCAAAAAATTTGAACACATTAATGAAGCAGATTATTTCATTATTTGGCTTATGCCCACTTTTTAAATAATTTATGTGTTGGTTTTCAAATGGTTTCATCTCCAAACTATTCTAATGGATGGTCTTTAAACATTCTATTGAAAGAAACTCGTTCTAAATTCAAATTTTATTATTCATTCTTGGTCAACAACTGTTGATGTTGCCTTGCGGTTAGAAGTTAACCCTTAAAAATTCAAGTTAGCCAGCACTTGGAATTCCATCAAAAATAATTTGTTAAAATATCTTGCTGGCTTTTCTAACACGATCTACTTATCTTCATTAATTAATGTCGAATAAATGAAGTCAGTGTTAGATGACAATAGTTTTGCCTCAAGCAAAAGTTTGTACAGCCTTGAGACCAGTAAGAGGTTGCTTGTTGACTGCTATATGGCTGCTTAGATGCCTTTCTCAAAAAGACACAAGTTGCCACTCTGCTCATTCTGCACTTAATTTGCAACTTGTCAATGAAAACTGTGTAAGACTGTTCTGAATTACTATTTGTAGGCTTTGATTGCCTCATAATAATCTAGACATTTTTTCTATTGCTCTAGAAAGTTCATTTGATCATTTCTTTTAAAGGCCAGCCACTTCAGTTCTGTGGCAAAGTTTGTGGCCTTGACATTAGTCTTCTCTCCCACATCAAGACAAAACCCATAGTCTACATAGATAGCCTTCAGAGTTGTCATACTGTGCAACTGGTTCTTCAGATGAGGAATACATAACTTAGTAATTTTCCTTTAAGATCGATTTAAAAAGTGATGTCATAAATTGCAATCATCTTACTTGTGTTTGTAAATTTTTTAGCGTAGCCATCTTTGAACCTTGCTTGTGGGAATTCTTCTGCATTTTTATGTTGTAGCGGTCATAATTTTTGTTTGTAATACCACCTTCCTTTTATGTGACGCATTGGAGATTTTGCCTATAGTAGTGATCAATGCAACCTTAGTTTATGGGAACTTGATCATTTTTAAATTTTTTGTTGTCATTCAGCAAAGGTTTCTTATTATTACCATGCACTTAAAAAGTTGCTCTTTTGCTGTATTTTTATTTTACTGCGGTCCTAAATAACAACAATTTCAATTTGGTATGCAAAGAAAACCAATCCATTGTATGATAAAAAGTGAACTATTTATCTCCTTCATTCCTATGTCCATATTAGAATATTTGTGAGTTTGTGTAAATTTTAAAATTGTTCCTAAACATCATTGTTGAAGAATGAAACTTCATAATGGTATTGGTACCTTTTTTAATTAGCCCTTTATTAACTCAATGTTTAACATCATTTAATTAATTATTGCATAATTTCCCTTCCTCGTTGAAAATAGTTAGCAATGCAAGCCTGGAAATTTTTCAGCATGTGCAGTAGTAAAAGGCTAACATTTTGGTAAAAAATCCACAGTGCTAAGTCTATCTCATCAAAAAATATGAAAAGAAAACTGCAACAGTGTTTTTTAGGACATGCAGGGTAATTCTAAATGATAGACCCAATTTAATAAATTTGTTTTTTTTAAAAACTTCTAGAATAACCCTGTATAATTCAAGGGATGTTTTACGCAGAGTTCACTTTCAATTGCTATGTATCATAGTCTCATTTTAATGTTGATGCCATTTCACTGTCAAAATAAAAGAGCTTTTTACCTCATCCTTTCATGCATTGAGAGTCTTTTCTCTACAATTTATGTAGATTTTGTTCTGCTAAGCATTTTTGAAGTTCTGAATGAAAAGTATTATTTTGCTGACTGATAATATGAATTATTGAGATACTGGTATTCCTTGTCTTGATCACTAATTGAATGAATTTTTTGACTGGCATGGGTAACATCTTTGCCAGGAGTTTTATTTTTAGATTATTACATGCCTTAGGGAATAAATAACTGCAAACAGTCATCAAACTAGTGTTTTTGATTCAAACTTGTTTTGTTCCCAATGAATTGCATTTTCATTCCAGCTTGAGCTTGATTTTATTCAACAAGTTTATTCCCGTCACTACCCCCTTGAACACCCTAAATCTGGTTTCCATTTACCATCTAGAGCTGTCAACCTCCCATGTAGCCTCACTAACTAAATGTGCTACTTTCCCATCAATGTAGTTTCATGGATCCTCCTCCTAGTCCCAAGTCGCCTATTTCCTTGTGTTCAACTTGTAAGCAGTCCCATTCAGCTTTATTTAAACTACTTATGATGTAAAAAAAATCCTTTCACTGTCAATCTTTCATGTTGTTTCTATGGCACTTTGTTTTGTAGCTTGTTAATAAACTTCTATCACATTGATTGCATCAATGTTATGGAATCAATGATTGATTCCATCACAGTGATTTCATCGATGTGATACCTAATTAATTTTGAGTGGCACAATGTTTCAAACAACATTCTCATACAAAGTACTTGGACTGTTAAAGGTTGGAAGCTTTGCACTCATTTTCCTTTCTATCACTGGCTTATGAACGTTCTCAGGTGATAGGGAGAGCCAGTGCAATAACCAGGGAGTCACGAACTCTCAGCAGCTGCAGCGCCATCAGCAGTTGCAGCAGAAACATGAGCAGCAGGAGATGTATTCTTATCCTCAAGGCTGTGGTACATTTCAAGCACCTCAGCTCTCATCAGCATCTAACCAACTGATGCCTTATAACCATACTTTCAAACAAGCTCAGATCTCACACGCTCATGGTTTCTTTCAAAATTCATGCTTGGCATCTAATGAAATGTTGCCTATTGTTAACAACAGTGCTATGAATAGCCTGTTTTCTGGTGAGTCTATCCTGTAAATGTCTTTTTGTACATATTTTCAACTCACTCGCTGCTGATCATTTAAGTTTTACTGTAAAAATGTTATTTTGGGGATGTTATTTTACTTGGTAATTTCTGGGAATTATGTTTGTTTCACTCATGCATACCTCATATTTACTTCATTTTAAACGTTGCACTAAAGACCTACCAGTAGATTTTTCTGTAAGAATAAAAATTTAAAACTAATAGAATAACTGCATCTTGACTGCAGCATCTTTAAAGTTACAATTCATCTGAAATTTACCGGGAAATCAATTCGTGCTAAACATTTATTACATTGCTACTAATTCGATTTATGTTCATCTGACTCAATATCCCGGGCATGAGCATCTGATTCCCGACTATCCCCGTTTGTGTACCTTACTGTGTGGTTTGGTAGCTAATCACATTTCTTATGCAATTGTTCGATTTCCTCTCCTGCTTTCTTACTGAATGTAATTAGCTCAAGCATGCATGGCAACTACCCTGCCTCTCCAGTTCGTTATTAGCAAACCGCCTAGTTTTTGAGTGCGTTGGATTTGATTCAAGATTCTTAATTGTTGTACCATTGAAATGAATATCATATTCCTTTGCAGGGCAAGGCTCTGTGAGGTACCTGCGCCAGGTTGAAGTGCAGCAAATACCCGTGGCTAACCAATGCGTCACGACTGAGCAGAAAGCTCAGCCACATTTGTCTCTTGCTCACTCTACTGCTGGTCCCAGCAGTGCCATCAACACTGCGTGTGACCCCTACATTGAACCACCGTGTTCGCCTAACACTGAACTATCAGCAGCACTGGTAGTTGAGGAGTGTATGAAATTAGATCCCTCCTCCACTAATTTACCAGTCATGTCAAACTTTGATCCCCAACCAGAGCCTTCGATAGCTAATGTGAAGAAGGAAGGTTTGCCGCGGAGCCCCTCCATTGATGTGATGCATCTCAATGATTGGCCTGGAGACTTCGAGTTCTCCATCCGCCCACCCGCTGATCTCAACAACACCCGCAAGGTTTGGCTTACAAGCTTGAACTTGTGAAGCCCATCACTAACAAGCTGGACTCTTTACAGCACTAGACCTTGAAATATTTACTTTTAAGTCTCTAAACCTAGAACCAAGTATGTAAAATGGCCAAGTCTCTCAAATATTCATTTTGATGTGTAAATTTATGTATTGAATTTAGGCTGATTTTGGCTTTCCTGTTCTTTCTGGCATTCCCCGTTTCTGATCATTTGAAATTTTGTTATTGAATTAACTCGGGCTTACGAAAATAAATATGATCTAGGTACTATTGAAGCTCCATCCAAGCTGTATTTTTCGGTCGAGACAAAAACTTTAATGAAAGCCGAAACCTATAAATACGTGAATAGTGGTTTATTATACTAGGTATAAGAAGAAATACAATGCCTCTTTCGACTGTAATGACTTGAATGTATTCCAACCCAGGAGAATATTACCCATAAGATGAATTGTAAATAAACAGCGTTGTAATTTGAAACTTAAGAATGTTTAGCCCCTGATGTGTGTATCATCAATAGTAACTCTAGTTTCCTGTTGCATACCCAATAGTAATACAACCTTCAAAAAATCGACCCAAATTTTAACCTTTACTAATATTAGCAGAACCTACCAGTACTCATGAAACGGCTGCACTCAACAAAATGTCCCCACACCTAACCAATTGTAATGTTGCTGTTGTGCAGTGGTGCTACAATGAGGGCACTAAGCGCCTGTACTGCCAGCCTAACGTGGCCATCGAGGTTCACGTGACAGTGAACAACTGGCAGGCCCTGGTAGCCAGCGGCGCTACAGTGCGTCTGTGTGCCGTGTTCACGGACCCCCACCACCGCACCCGGCCCGTCAAGCGCTGCGACTTGCACTGCCAGAGTGAGTATAGCATGAGAGATCCTCCAAGCATGAGGGATTTCCCCAGCAATCCCTCATGCTTGGGGGAATCAAGCAGGGATTCCAAGCGTTAGGAATTCCTAATTCCTTTGAGTTCTGCTCACTTGAGTTTCCCTCAGTTCGATTAGAGAAAAAGTAAGCAAGAGTTTAATGTTATATTTGTTTTCTATCTGAGTTTCAGTTTCTCTTATCAGAATTTTCTGCCCTATTTTAGGAGATAACGTCCTCTTACGACAAGCAATTCAAAAATCCTTGTTTCTTCAGGTTTTACGTTACGTTATCTTTCGAATATTTATCGCGCATCATATATCGATTTTAATGTGTCTTTTTTAAGTTTTAATGTGTCTGTTTTAAGTTTTAATGTGTCTCTTTTAAGTTTTAATGTGTCTCTTTTAAGTTTTCATGTGTGTCTTTTAAGGTTTTCATGTGTGTCTTTTAAGGTTTTCATGTGTGTCTTTTAAGGTTTTAGTGTGTGTCTTTTAAGGTTTTAGTGTGTGTCTTTTAAAGTTTTAATGTGTGTCTTTTAAGGTTTTAATGTATGTCTTTTAAGGTTTTAATGTGTGTCTTATATGGTTTTAATGTGTCTTTTAAGGTTCTAATGTGTGTCTTTTAAGGTTTTAATGTGTGTCTTTTAAGTTTTAATGTGTGTAATATTTTTTTTCATTGCAGAGGACACGAACCCCAACCGTGAACACCTGATCCAAGTGGACAGCAGCCACGCGGTGTACGGGTACGTGGGCGAGCGTCAGGTCGTGTCGGTGCCTCTGCACGCGCCGCCCCCAGGCTTGGACCACCTCACGCTCCTCGTCAAGTCCACATGCATGACCTCGTGTCTGGGTGGACCCAACCGCCGCCCTTTCGCAGTGCTATTCTCCTGCATGAGTGAGTACTCGGGACTGGTTGCGGTTTTCCTATTTCTTATGTCATTTGGATTCCTCTCAGATGCTGGTTAGTTTTGCTTACGACGCTAGTTTATTTGGATTCCCATTGAGAAGGAGTATTGTAGGCTCTTGGTCTCTTTACTCCGTGCCTTTCTCGTCACGACGTCACTGTCCACTTCCAGCTAAATATCTCTTCAGTACGTATCTACATAGTATATATTATTGATATATGTGCATTTGATCTTTTGGACGGAGTAGATTGCCCTTTATTTCTACCTATGTATTTTCCTCTCACATTCCAGGTTTTTTAGAAAGGTTTTCTAGTATTTCGTGATATAGTCTCTATTTCTTGCCGCTCATCTAGAATCCTTTGAATTCGTGGCATTTTCTTTGGGTTTGGGGCATGAAAGAGAAGCTCATTCGTGTGGCTTCACCTCTTCGTCAGTTGAAATCCAAGTTGTATCGTGTAAATCCGTCAATCGTGTAAATCTTCAACCTGCTAAATGTTGAATGCCATGATATAGATCTTGGTTGAGCTTACGGGTGCATAGTCGAGCCATAGTAGCGGTACCTTCTTATAGCAAAAATCTATACTTTGTCTGTTATTTTGACCTGATGATCTAGTAGCTGCCTCTATTCTAGACTTTAAGTAGATAAAACTGGTGTCTGTTTGTAAAGCGTTTTTTGGGTGCTCCACGAGTTTTTGCCTTTTATGCCTGCGATTGAAAGTGAATCGCAATCAATCGGGTTCTTCATAGCCCTTAGAGTGTTTTGGTTTGTTCAAGCCTATACGACATTTGGCTTTACAAGTCCGCGCCTCAAGCTCGAACGCCTCTTTGTTCATGTATGTTTATTGTTTACACGCTGTCACTGGAAGAGAAGTTATTCCTTTGTGACCAGTCGTTGGCAGTACGTCCGCCTATAACTAATCTAACTTTTTTTATGAGCGTACGTTTTTGAATAAATCGCGATGCACACGTTTAATTTGGTTAATGCCAACGTTTGTGATGTTTGCAGTGCATGGCCACGAGGTAGGACGGCATTGCTTGCCTATCAAATGCTGCATGGGCGTTCGTCGGGACATGAAAGCAGAGATAGACAAACTCATGCCCGACGAGCTCAATGCCCTTGAAGGCCAACGACCTAAAATGCCAAACTCCAAGAAGAAGCCTGCCGTTCCCTCGACTTCTAGCGGCAAGAAGCGTAAGGTGGAAAGAAAAGGCTCCGGCCAAACTTCTGACAGTGACACTGATCGTAGCTGTGTCAAGAAATCATCCTCGGGCAACCTCAGCGTCCAACTACCCGCTGCCATATGCACTCCAGCACCGCCAGGATATGTTAACTTATTCGTGAGTTGTTGGATTCGCACCCTGATAATTTTATGCCAAATGTCGTGAGCAAGTCCACACAAATTCGGTTACTCGTCTTGTTTACTGTGATTTTGTTAAATTTCGCCCGCAAATTTTCTGAGCCAAATTCTAGCAACTGCGCTTCTATAGAATACATTCTGAGGATTTATTCAGTTTTTCACTCAAGAGACTTGACGCAAATTTTCTTATCGCTAGTAGCGAGAAAATTCTTCTCTGATTCTTCTTTCGATGTTTTTTCTTGAAACTTCGAAATGTTATATAAAATCTGTTTTCATTTATGGCTGTCATCTTAAATTTGCGGTAGCGAACTAAGATCAGTCCTATCTACAGCAAAATTACAATAGCTCCCTAATGGAAATATTCATTCATGGTGTAAAATATATTTGATGGCACGTTGATTGCTAGTAATTACAACAAAACCAAAACTCGTCGATGATCTGTCATTTCTGTTTGGAACTTACTATGAATTCACTTATTTTTTTATTTGAAAGTCAGCGAGTCTGGACTAAAAAATACGTCACGTTAAATAAGTAGGATATTTTTGAGCGTTTAAATATATTCAATTTTATGAATAATCCCTATTTTTAGTGTAATTAAACACACTTTTGGATTAAGGCGACTTTTTCTGAAGTGCTCTGTTGGGTACAGGTACCCCTGCAGTACAAGTCCCGCGTGACGGAGTATATTAAGGGCCTCAGGGCTCATGACCTGCTCAAGGAACAGTTCCCGGAGGTTTACCGGCGGTACCTCACCTAGACGTCAACGTGGCTACTCCCTTGAAGAGCGCTGATGCTCAACGTCATCTCGGCCATCACAATAGCTGCCAACTCTTCAGTATTTAAATTGCTTCTCATCAATCATTGGATACGATCAGCTCGCACAAGATTATTTATTTGCTGGTGTATTCACTTACATCATTTGTTCAATACGTCTAATTAATCGCTGTCAAAATGTTGAATCCAACACCTCGATTACTCTTGGAAACTCCGTTTGTTTTCTCCTGATTGAAAAATATCAATTGGCATTCTTGACAACTCAGAAGCTGTTATTTGCGTTTCGTCTACAAGTGTTTAATGATCCTGTTTAAATTAAATCATTGCGTTAGACGTGTTCAAAAAATCTCGCGAGCTAAACTTTCTCAAAATGTTGGTTAATTGAATCAACACCACAATTTTAGGATTCTCTCTAATTTATGCAATGCTTTTTATTTCTTGTGACTTAAGAATGGAACGAGGAATTAGTCCTTCATCAAATGTGCCTTTGATGTTTGCAATTGACTATATATGTGACTTCTCTTCGTTTAAAGTCACCGAAGTTAAGACAGTTTATGCCTTGTGCAATTCAGTTACTGCTTGGGAACAATTTCCTTTAGTTTTAGTAAATTAGTATTTCCACTTGTGCTAGAGGAACGTGGTATGATTTACTTGATTTACTTTGTGATGAACGTGAGCAGGGTATTCATTAAGTCAGTTTTCATGTTGTATAATTTGCTGAATCTCAAAATTATTGTTACTCAACAATGTACTTTTGAGCGTGGCTCTGTGAATTAGACAGCATTTTGAAGCTCTAACGTAATTTTGGGTAAGGTAACATTGAGGCAGTTGTTATCTATGGCTATATTTAGTGGCAGTTTTTCACGTTAAAGATTTATAATGAAGATTATTATGCAGGACTCTTTAATGGCTTGCTTTAAATACTCCCGCTCACAATCAAAAGCTTGAGCCATTAGGAGGACTGAGCTTGTTTGAAGTAGCCCCCGACTTTTCTGTAATTTCATGAAGTCTGTTCTAATTGTTTGTTTCAATAATTCAATTGTAGACTGTTCGATTAAAGCATGTGGACTACGTCTTAATGCCATACTGCTTCACTGCCCTGAAGCTATTTTTCTTTACGAATTTCCTGACACTTTTTTTTTAGCTGGCAATTATCTCTCACATTCCTATTACATAGAAATATTATTCTACCGTAGATTTTATTTTTTGTTGTATTTTGATCTTCTATGCCCTGCTTCGTAGATCTTAGTCTATCAACGAGTTACTCTTCTGAGAGGAATGTTTGTTTGTATACGCTGTAGCACGCGTTTCGTTCTGACTTCTTATATTCAACTGTTATCATTTTTACTGTAGACTAAAGCCTGTGTAATTTATATTAATTTCCCCGTTGAAATGGCAACAGTGCTGATTAAGGTTTTTTTCCGTAGAGTGTTGGCCATTGTTCCCAGAATTTGAACCAACTTTTCTTTCACTCATTGCAATCGATTCTGGTTATTAAAGTCAATCATTATAAGTATACCGTTTTAAATGAGATCAATCCTAATTTGCATCTGAATCTCTGTCAGGGCTTGATACTGTTCGTGTTCTGAGTTTAAGTACCTATATCCAGATAGGGATTTTGCAAGAATGGAACATCATTTATCACATGAAAATTTATCCAGTGTCATCGATAAACATTTTTCACCCTATATTTTTCTTACGGTCAATTGGAACCAATATTATCAATACAATCGAATTCGTTTTAAATCGTTTATCAATTCAATCAAATTCAATTATAACTAATATTTGCTTTACGTATCACGACCGCTTACCGTTTCACTGATAATAAGTACCTTATTTTGTGCGTATTCCATAACCTTGCTATGTTAACTACCGATTATTTCAATGCCCCCAGGAATTAATGCCTTTTTTTTTTGTCCTCTTCCATCAGACAATTTCATAATTTTGCTGATAACTTATCCGCTTTCCAAGTAATGGATTTCTTCTGGTATAATATCATTGGGATTGCCATTGTGCAATTTTTCTCCTTAGTTATGTTAGAAATTATAATAAGCAATCTGTGTTGTGTTCTTGTTTCAATAAAGATACACAATTTTGACTTCAAATCCGTGATGCCCTGCGTGTAGGTTATTCTCCTAATTGGCCACACTTGATTCCTTTTAGGATTCTCGCAGTCACTTTTGTTTCTGAAACGTACCTATTCATGAAATTGATCAAATTCGAAGTTACCACTTCCCTTATCACTTTGCATAGTTCTAGTTATTGATGGTGAGATCATTTGAATCAGTATTAATTGAAATCGATTATTTTTTGTGGATGTCAATCCTTGTCGTTTGGAGTTCACGCAACGTACTGTGAAATAAATTATGAATGTTTTTATGGAGGCAAGAACCATCAACTAGAGCACTTCATATGAGAACGAACTCCTCAAGTTGCATCTTCAAATGTATCGGTTATGCTAGACGAGCAATGAACTATGAATTTAGATGAATAGTACCACAATTTAGATTAATAGTACCACAAAAGCTCCTAGAAATTCACTTCGACAACCCTTGGGTGGTCGCGCGCTGAAAAAGAACGTGATTGGTCGCGGGAATTGAGATGAAAATATATCAGCGTCAATCATAGTTTATTAGAATAAGAATCAAATCGATTAAGATTCTGTTCTTCAATATAATGAGCAAAAACTAATTGCAACCTCTGTGTTAAAAAAATATAAACATTAACGCTAAAGAGCACTGGAATTCACTAATATTGCCCTAAATTTTGGGACGACTTTATAGGGTTTATTTTCATTCCATTATTTAAGCGTTTATTTTCAAATATAATTATTAATGTTTTGCGATTTCAGCAGCCACAAAGTCAAATAATTATATTTAGAGCTTAAAATCTGCGCTAATAACGCACAAATGAACGAAATAAACATGACCTAAGTTTGTTCGCGCGACACATGTAATTCGTCGTGTGGCGACGTATGTATGTAATACACGGACTTACGGGAGATACTGCCACACAACCACACGTAGCTGGCACTCACGTGGCTTTGAGCACGTTTCTCGAACATTCAATTGAAAGTACCTGGGAGCACTCGGAATTTAACGCATGTGGTTTTTGAATGAAAAAAATCTAAATCTCAGTCGCATGTTTTACACATGTTATCTGCGCAACCAATGCGACCAAGCCATCCTGAATATTCGTTGAAAGTAACTAAAGTAACTAAGTAAACGTATTGAAAGTAACTAAATTTTTCGTCGTCGAACAGTTGAGAACTTCGAGAGAGGTCGCCAGATCCTGTCAATTCGTTCATGCAGAAACCCTTTCCGAGATATGGAAGATTATAAGCGGAGAATTTCGAAGAACCACGGACTTCTCAACTCCAGCCAGAGGGCCGATTCTGGTGATGGGACAGATGCTATCGCAAACAGAGTTTCTTTGTCCGTTTCCATTCCAGATTTAGAATCTGAAAGCAAGAGTGATGTGCAAAGTGGTGAGTAGCCTAATTCTCTCCCAATGCTAATTAACTGTCATTGATTGAACTGTGTAAACAAACTTGATGAGGAGGACTAATTCGAAGCAGTTGAAAACTGCTTCTGTATTGTTTATCTTATGGAATCAACCATCTTCTGTGTTGTTTATCTTATGGAATGACTTTTTTCGTTAGGAGACCACTCAGTAATCATTTTTCTTAATTTCTTTTTTATGCCCAGCTCTCGAATCAATTCGCGATGCCGAAAAATTCTTCAATCGCCACAGACAAATGTTGAAAGAGTTTGACGATAAGGACTTGTCTGGGTTCCGTAGCCGGCACAACCACAACCTAACCGGCGGCCTGAATAATGGTCCCTTGTCTCGACTTCGAAGCGACCTCACAGGCGGCCATGACAGTGATGCCTTGACTCTTTCGTCGGATAGTGAGACGGAAACAACCCGAATAAAACGATTGACATTCGTAACTTCATCCCAACCAAACCAGGCCGTCCCAGCGGCACCGAGCGGCCTTTATTGTCAACAGGTTTGTTATTTTTTGTATATTATACTAATGAATGTTTGGCAAATGAATCATCCAAGCTAACTTTCTTCAAATATTTCTGGTATCGGTGTGAAACCTGTATCTGCTGTAAATTTTGTTTGAAAAGCATCGCTGACCGTTGTTGGCAAGTGGTGGGTATAAACAGATGAAGTTATTTGTATAAATGTTTCTGTAGTTACGAATCGTAATGATTGCAACTTGTCTAACCAAGGAATGGTTTTATATCATTTTGTCTGATTGAAGCGGAAAACCATTTTAGCCGTTAGGCAATTGATTCCTTCATACATATAGCTAATCAACAGCTATGTTTTCTCTTGCAGGTAGAGAAGAAGTACGAAGCCGAAGTTGTGCAATACGTGGAGCGCCTCGCAGCTTTAGATCGCTTGAAGAATAACTTCCCGGAACTCTACGAATCCTTGTGATATCTTGATATCTATTTATTGTGCACCTGTGCAATTCATGGCAATTTTAATGTGCATTGTTACCTCACTCGATGATTCGAAAAATCCGAATTTCGTAGACTTTTCAAGGCGAATTCAACATCAACCTAACCAACAGGGACTGAGATGACTGCACATTTCTGCTTGAGAGTGCAAAGCTTATGCCTACTTTTTTGTTGATCTTATTTCAATTAGAGCCACTTTTACTCATTGCTTTGGAAGATGTCCATGCATCTTGTTGCTGATTTTATCAACATTATTGAAAAGTGTGATTAAAATCTAATTTAATGAGTTAAGGACGAGGGATAGAGATCATTGATGATTTACGTCGCCGGAAGTTACATTGGAGTATTAAATTAGCAGTTTATCTTCTTGTGACTTGAGTATCTTAAATTTTAATCGCTCTCATTATTCACCTTTTTTCGATAAATGGTAGAGTAAATCGAACTCCGTACAAAATTTTGAAGCTAAAGAGAAATGATAAATTGAAAGCTCGTTATAGTAATAGGAAGTAGAAGCGGTGTCTGCGTTGATTAGGCCATTACACATGTCACCGATAATGAACATTGCAGAAATTTTGTAGCTTGTTGGGTGTCTCGATCATGCAACTCGCTGCCCCAATTTTATTTTGCTCACCCTTATCAGCCTAGCCAACTCGCCGATTGAGGCCAGAACTGTTGCAGGTAGCTGGGATCGAGCACATAGCTCTCTCCTAATATCCTGGTACTCAGAAGTAGCGAAAATTCATGACTGAAATAACCGAAATGTCTTTTAACTGTGTTTCTGTTTATTTTAACGGCGACACAAAACGCTTACAATTTCAGTATCTGCAGAAGTGCTGCATGTTTCCCTGAGTTTCACATGATGTTAATTACTTGCTAAATCATCCCTCTTGCAGGCTCATGCTCAAAATTCTTTATGATATAATTCTGAACAAGCTGACCACGTAGTTAATCTTATAATGACATGCGAGTCCGTTCTTTTCCTAGCTCCCTTATATTCTAATACAACAAGCGCGTACTGCATTTTATTGGTAATTTGCAAACTAATTACTTGATACGAGAGTAATACTTTTCCCATTTTGTGTCTCCACTCTAAAATGCAATGTCAGTCACCAGTGATTTCTACCCTTAGGAGTAGCTTGAGCGTTTTTACAAGTACCTGTACTTTCCGAGTTCCCTTTACAGGGCACAGTTCCTGAGCCATCCCACATCAAGTTCATAATACCTTACCACGACTGTCACTGGTCGAGTTAAGTTACCTTACTGCATTCCTCTCCTCTGTATCTCATTCAAGCAGACGAATGACCAATTATTTTGACGGAGCAAGCGACCCGCGTGCTTGTGTCCTGTTTTCCCTTCGTTATTTCCTCTTGATGCTTGCGCGTTTTTTTTATCAGAATAGCTTCAGCGTGCAGGAAATTACTTGTTCATGCGCAAAAACTTAACCTAGTTTCATTTCCTCAAAATCAACCGGGATAACAAGAAATAAGATCTATGCCGATAAAAAAGTTGTTCAGCAATGAAATTAATAATCGTTGGAATAATTGTGTCCCGGAAATTATGTAAAATTACTATACGTGGATATTCAACGAATCGGTAACGGCGATACGGAAGAAATTATTGTGGTACCAGACAAGGCCAACGATTTTATAACGATGCGAGACGCAACAAGACATTCCGTCTGAGTGGACCAAGGAGTTATAATTTAAAACCTTTATCATTTATGGGTCGTTTAAACTACATTTGGCTGCCAGCTCAATCCCTCAGTAATTGTTGATAATGTCCAAACCTTTGAGACCCACCCTCCTAACAAAGTTTTAATTTTCTTTAATCGATACTCCAGACCTAGAGATTTGGCATGCTAAGTTATAGCTCCTGGATTTAAACTTTTTAAATTTTTCAGCGAGTCTTACATCCAGCACTGGAGGAATATTGTCAAAGTCGAATTGTCGTTCAGACAACTGACTCAAGGTAGCGAAATGATTCCTGTGTTACTTGATTAACGAAAAAATTTTGCTAGCAGTGCGAAAATTTCTAGAAAGATGCATTATTTTAACATCAAGAACCACGTGTCGTCTATGTTGCCAAAAAAATATGCGATTTACGGGAAATTGTAACGCCCGTTTTTTTACGTTTCGTCTTGAATAATAAATTCAAGGAGACGTAAATGCTTACAGCAAAACTACAACGAGTTTTTAGATTTGTTTCTAAGATCACACAGCAAAAAAAAATTAAGCACAAATTGATATTCACCTCGTATTCAAGTCGACTTAATCTCTTATTTATATAATGCATTATTAATTTTACAATAATGTACCTGATTAATCGAATTGATAGGTTGAAATTAATTGCAGCAATTTTGTGTTAAACATTACACAACGTATGCAAATGCTCACAAGCTACTAAGAAGGACGCCATAACCGAGTTTGATAACATCTCTGTTTCGGCGAGGACCCGCGCTGGCCACTCGTATTGGCATTGTAACTGATCGGCCAGCCTGTCCTCTCGTGACCGGGATAAATGACGTGTCAAGAGAGCTGCACGATAAGCAGGATTCCCGGCAGCACGATAAGAAGGATTGGTTGATAATATATATGAGAACAACACACGTGCAAGACAGGGGGGAAGTGCCTCGTGTATCAACCTTGTGATAGCAACAACTAACCCGAGGAGAAGACTAACAACTAACCCGCCTTTCATTATCAGGAACGATTCTTCGTTCTCCTTTATGCCTAAAGATGAGGGTAGGACGGGAAGCTTGAAATTTCTAAGTCCTTGACGTACTGTATTGAGCCAGGCTAGTATTGCCCAAAAGTTGCCATTTTAACAATAAAACTACAAAAAATTACATAGAATTTTTGAATCATCAATGCAATAGTATATTGTGATCATTTTCCGAAGTTGGTGTCCAGCCTTAATCGTACACGGAAAGTTTTATAGATCGATCATTAATTTTGTTGGCTGCCGATTTGATTAGGCATCTCTTCGGGGTATGGAAATCACTATTAGGCGAGAGTTGGTATGCATTCTGGCAAATTATGAGTGTTCGCTGTACAGTACAAAGAAGGCTCACGAGACGACAAATTGGAAACGTTAACGATTTAATTTTCTGGAAATTTTTTATGAGGCATTGAAATTATGAATCACCGGTTTTTTTTCGGACAGACTATAAATGCTTATAATCCCTCACTTTATCGCCGTTAATAGAAGTCACTCCTTATGGTGAACATCTGATAAATCCTTCCCGTCTCGCAAATGAAAAGTGAGGATTTTATTCACGCCGAAATGCCCTTTTCTGGGAAATAATGAGACAGCAGGCAGACGTCGTTGTGCGGATGTGGAGCCTGAAGGAGCAACAGCGGCTCCGGCGCATAGTTCCCGGAGCTGCTGCTGTGGTGCCTCGTTCCGAAATTTTTATCAATGCCTGTCATTTCCAGGCTAAATAAGTGGAGAATCAGCTTTCAACTCATAAATTTGAACTAGACGATGTTGTATAGTAGTATAAATTTGCTACTTTACATGTCCGTAAGGCGCTACTCATTCAAATAGAGAGCAGTCTTGAATTTCGAAAGTGTAACGAATCTTTAGCATCAGTTGTCATCAAGCCTCGTAATATTATTTCATTTCAGTTTTGTATGGTAGTTTTGCATGCTCGCAATGCAACATTTAGCTGACATACGAAGCAGAAAATTGTAGTGTAGTCACCTATCGGTGATGCTTAGCTCGTATTTTTCTTTAATTGCACCTTCATTCGTGAGTTACGCGTATATTGCAAAACAGGCCGAAATTCGCAGTGATCAAAGAATTTTTTCCAAAATATTGAACAGATTCGAACGAAATTTTGAATATACATGCCTAACTACCAAACGGTGATTTTTTAGCTTATACATATCTTTCGATTTTACCTTCGTTTGCGTTTTTATTTATTTCACTGTCATTCTTGATTTCACACTTCCTTATATTCGGTCGGAATCGCCGGGTAATTTGTCACTTAAATTCGCGGCGATCAGGAAATTTCTTCTAAACTACAGAACAGATTTCAACGAAACTTTGTATATAATTACCTAACCTCTCAACGCTGATATTTAGCTCGTGATAATTTTTTATTTTGCTTTCGTTCGCGAGTTATACAGATATAGGAGGAACGACCGGCTTTTCTACCGTCCGGTTGAATCAAGAGCTGTATACGTATAGCCGTATAACTCGCAAACAAAGGCAAAACGAAAAAATTTTAACGAGCTTAACATCACCGTTGCTGAAGTTAGGTATTTAAATACTAAGTTTCGTTCAAATCTGTTCAGCAGTTAGGAAAAAATTTCTTGATTACTGCGAATTTAAACAGGTATTGCTGTTTAAATCACGAATGAAAGGGAAATGAAAAAAAAAATCGCGAACGAAGCCTCAATCGAAAAATTTTTCACGAGCTAAACATTACCGTTCGGTAGTTAGGACTGAAAATTCAAAAGTTCGTTCGAATCTGTTCAGTAGTTTGGAAGAAATTACTTGATCACTGTGAATTTCGGCCCGTATTGCCATATAACTATGGCAGAAACAAACGATGGCAAAATTCAAACAATTTTCACGAGCTAAACATTATTGCTAGGTCCTAATGAATATGTGTACTAAGTTTCATCGAGTTCATTAGTTTGAGAGATATTCCTTGATCATTGAATTAGGAAATTGGCCGTGAGACCGGCCGCGAGTCCGACCGTTAATTTGTCCGAGACGTAAACCCAGGAGAGGTTAAAAAAAAAAGATCTGTGTGACAAAACCATCGCTGGGAGTCATGTGCTGCACGTGTTGTGTACTAATCGTCAAACAAACGTTCGAACTTCTGACATCGACTTCGGACTACCGCCCCCCTACTACCCTCTTCTTTCTTACCGCCCCCCAAAATCTTTCCACCGTCCCTTGAGGGGCGATATCGCCCACTTTGGGAACCACTGATTTAGACGGCAGCCTCTAGGCGCTCAATATTCGAATAAATTTGGTTTACGCGATAATATTTAGCGTCTGTAAGCCATATTGTCCAATCGAGTCCACAGACGTATAAGAGTATCGTGCTGGCAGCCCGGCTTGTGTGTAATAAATTAGGTAAAAATGTGCAGTTTGGGGACTTTGCGTTGCGTGATAATCGCAATGTCAGAACTTTAGTTCTTGAATTTTCATCTAATTTTCAATTTTTTGGCCAATACTTTGTCCTGATAATTTTTGCGTTACTACTATATTGCGGCAAGCTCATCCTCCAATACTGTAAAGCAATAGCACACGATAAAGAGAGATCATTAGTATCAAAAATCCGATAGAAAAATCATATCTCCAAGGCTTATTTAAGCAAAAATGAACTTGAATATTTATAAACCTCATTCAAACAAGCTCGTCGAGTGATCATATTGAATCCCAGACTTGAAAGTCGTGGGTTTCTAATTTTAATGCATCTCCAATTCTCACCTTCACTCGTTGATCGTTTGTGTCTGTTTGACCAAAATCATATTTTACTCTTCGCAGTAGGTCATAAATCATGATATTTATAAAACGGGGGGTAAAATTGGCAAGTAACATTTTTTACCTCATTTATTTTAAAATTATAACATGGCGAATCTATCACTCTCGACTGACAAAATTTCATCATCAAGGTCCATGTTAGTGAACAAATTTATTCCAGCGAGATTAAAAAATATTCCTGTGTTCGTCCATCTGATCTTACGTAAAATCAGAGTGCCCGATCCTTCTCCTCTGTGACGCGTCTCTGGGATTCTCTGAGCTGCTAGAGTCCAGTCTTGAGTCAGGAATCATTTCCGCGGGCTCGAGATGCACGTTTTTGCACGACACTTCCCACAGCTTCTTCGCTAGATCAGAGTCGCACGATTCGCGCGACGAACGCGCTTTCTGAAACCACAAATAGAGAATCGCGCATCATAACCGTATTTTACAGTTCATTCGATATTCTACTTTATTTCACTAGGGGACAACGAACTATTATTAATTCATTACTTTTCCAAAGCCGATGGAAAGTTAAATTTGAACTCTTCTCACCCGGCAATTAACGTAGTAGCAGCCACTTTCGCATCCACCTTCCTCGGACAAGGCCAGGTATAGCTGCGTTTGTGCTCCCTGCGTTTCAGTCTGCCCAGTCAATTTAGCTTTTTGTTAATTAAAAAAAGAAATGCAAACACACTCCTTTAGATTTTTCTTCGAATCAAATTAAATTCCTGTAATTTCATTATGTTTGAAAGCCAGGTACATGTATGATTGTTGAACATCGTTGCTCGACATCATAGTTCTAGTTTTCTTAGAATATAAATAATTATTTGCCTGGCAACACACTTCGTAAAACGATATCAATTTAGGAAATCATTCGAAGAATACATAGTACAAATTGCATGCTCATCTAACTATGACCGCACTAAAAAGTATGCTATTAAACTCACCCTAAATATAATAGGGCTTATAAACCTGCCAAACAAGAACACGCTTAAAGCTTGATTAGGTCGCCTCAGAACTTCTGTGTTGACTGAACCGGGATGTAGGACGTTTGTTACCACCCCTGCAAAAACGTTTATATGAAATACCTGGATGCAAATTAGATTTGCCATTTAAAGTTAAAATATTTCCGTGCTTGGATTCCGGAAAATTGATCAACAATCACAATAAGAATTTAATGGAAAGAGCTCTAAAGTTGTACATGGCCAGAAATGTATTTCTGCACCATTTGTAACCACGATCTAGAATAATACACGAGACATTATTATGTTATCAAATTTTTAATGAAAAAGTGATTGGACCCAGATGATAAAACACGAAACTGCTCGGCCTTAATCCAAAATTGAAATTTTGCGTATAATGGAATTATTGGTAAATTCCGTCACGTGTAAGTGACGCACGTGTAAGAGGTTTGAATAAAAGTATGAATACGCCACTCAGACGGTGAGCATAAAGGAGTTAATCACAATAGAGAAGTAATAATAATATTATTAATCATAATAGAGAAGTAGAGCATTCATCAGTAATAACCTGATCCCTTCAGACGTCTTGCAAGTTCTTTGGTGAAGAGGACGTTTGCGAGCTTGGACTGCGAATACGCGTGCTCGAAGCGGTAGCGACGTCTGTCGAAATTCAGGTCTTCGATGTCCAACTGACCGTCTGCATGCAGAGCCGAGGAAACGTTGATCACTCGACTTGATGTTCCGGCTTTCAGTTTGCCTGGATGTTGTTTTATACGAGTACCTTAAATTGAACCTCCTAACATATACAAACTGGGAAAATTTACGTCTTAGAAACATATTCAAACCAATTTTTCAGTGCATAATTTTGTTCCAAGTCCTAGCTCTAAGTATTAAATATTTGTTCAAAGCGTACGGAATTAGGAATACACATGTTACCCATAAGCAGATGAGTAAGAAGGAAGTGTCCGTAATGGTTGGTTGCGAGTACGAGTTCATGTCCGCAGGAGGCCACCTCTTTATTCTTGGTTCCGGCAATGCCGGCGTTGTTGATCAAAATATGCAGAGCTTCTTCCTCCGCGTTGATCTGCGCGGCAAACTTGCGCACTGACGCAAAATCCGAGAGCTCCAAGTGGCGAACCACCACATTCGTGTTGCCGCTCTTCGATATGATGTCGTCTGAAAAGAAAGTCTCGAATGACAACGGGCCAATACTATAACATATATTGGAACCTTTCTTTACAATTAATGTTTCCCATCATGTGAATTGAATTTTCTTACCAGCGATAGGTTGCGCCTTGGCAAGGCTTCTACAAGCCATGATGACTCGAGCGCCTCTCTTGGCAAGCTCCAGCGTCGTCGCCTTGCCGATTCCTGCAACAGGAAAATGTATTCCGACGAATTAGACTGTGGAGGCTAGTTCAGTTCTGAGTGTGTGCATATCTCTTCTTTTATTCCTGTTATTTTTTCTCTATTGGAAGTTATAATTTCAAAGTATTTAACTCTGTGCTACAAAATTACAACCGAAATTCTCAGGTTTGACAGAAAATTTTGACTTTTAATGAACCAATCAATAATTTAGTGGATTTAAGGTATATTTTAAAATGCCAGTAATTTCATTGTCGTTAAAATGAACTAGCGATGTCGTCAGATATTACAGAATACGAATACTAACATCAATTGTTTATTGCTGTCACAACAGACCTGCAGTAAATAACAAATTCAAATCCAACAACAGACATATTAATGTTAAATGAATACTATCACTACGGGGTCTCTCCCTTACGACACAGAAAGGAAGCCATAACATTCATGATCGTTCCGTCACTGTTCTAATACCATGATTATTTATTATTATTATTATTATTATATAGCTCTGTTATTTTACGTAGAACACGCTGGTAAATGAAGCTCACCTGCACTAGCTCCCGTAACAATGACAGTTTTTCCATCGAGGCTCACGCCATCAGGACATTTTCTGGCCATCCACCGGTTAATGATGCCAAATATAACTAAACTTAGGAAAATGAAGGTAATAAACGTAACTACACTCAAGAATATCCACAGACCTACTGACATGATGAGAAAGTTTTCGTATGGAAGTCTCTGCGTGTAGAAATGGGTTGCATAAATATTGTTTATATCTGTATTTGAATTATTTGGCCGAGAGCCTTCCAAGGTAAATCGTGGACAGAATATATTAAAATCATCTCCATAATTGATGAAAGCGACAGTCAATAGCACGCAAGTTGCCACTCAGCAGATACCACAAGTTAATCACTAAAAACATATAATTCTTCTCAGAACTACGATTCATATAGGGTTCTATTGCCACCTTATAACTAATAAGCTTTTTCTATCGTGTTAGAAAATTGTGAGTCAATTTTGTGAACAAAATAAATCGTTTATTTTGAGGGCCAGCGATATGAGTGCTGAGGCTAAGTTTACCGCATTGACGGAATGACGGTAAAACGTTGCTCTCAAGCCGACGGAAAATTAATTTTTGATGTTTCCTGTTAAATTCGAAGCAATATTTGACATACATCCAAATTCAGGACATCGTCAATAATAGATGGATAATTATCTTTATGTTAAGTTTCTATCATCGACCCGACGTTAGCGTATGTTAATTTCACTCTCTCGTCTCACCAAAATAAGGTCATCATATAGAATTTGGAGAACGAAATTATCATTAAAATTACATAACCCTTCTGATATTTCATCGATAATTTGTGAACGCCACTAAAAGCCTAAATGAACATCGCCGAATTTAAAATATTCATGAAAAACGTTCGAAATCAGCCTGCAAACGGCACTGCTAGAAACATTTCTATATGTGCATTTTTTCGTGTGTACGCTAATTTGTTGAGAAGCAACACATGGCATTGAATTTTTTGCAAAGTTTCCATAGTTGAACGTTAACTTTTTAGTTCTGTAGTGAATCTTCAGCACAAAACTATGACAGCCTACCCAAACGACGAACAGTTCGCGACTGAAACTCGACCGTGTCGCCGTGGTCCGGTATTTGTAGGACTGCTAGGAGCGGGCGGAGAGTTCACATTCTCTGCCCGGAGGCACGCGGGCTGCTGCTTGTTGGACGGTGGCAGGAGCTTATATTTTTTGCGTATTTTCATATGAACCAATAAATAGATCCATGCCCTTATTGGTGGAGCTCGTAACGCATCAAACTAAGGATTTCATGGCAGTCATTACGATATAAAGGCTTTGAATTTAAATATTCAATGTTTTCATTAGAGAGACTTATTTCACTTGTTATTGACGTCCGTCCGTAACTTCACGTCACGGACGGACAAGAAAATGAGCTCTCTGTCACTCACTGCAGTGAGTAGTGATCTATTTTTTTCAATTATTCTACCATTTAAGAAAAGCCCTGATAAACCCTATTTATGCCCTGAGAAGCCCTATTTAAGCCCTGAGATGGATTAAGTGGCATTTTACAATGATCATTTGCGTCTACGAGATTATTATGGCCTAATTCACGTCATCTAAAATAGAACAGAATAGAAGTTTCGGCACTGAAGAAATAGGCCCATGGCCTGTTGCCCTTTTCGTGACTTGATTCACAAGGGATCGGGCCTTTAGAACCCGATCTTTCCATAACTGACGATTGATTGAGATAGCTGCTGGACTTATTGCCTGGTCCGTAAGTTGCTAGGCATTTTAAAACTGAACATATGCACCGGCATATCTTCATCTAGTCTGTACTTGAAGGCGTTCATACTCGGAGCGTCAACGATGCTATCAGGGAGGCTGTTCCACACGTCGGTGATTTGAAGCGAGAAGAAATGTTGTCGCGTGGACTAGTTGCAGCGCAGTTTTTTTTAGTTAATAGCCGTGGCCCCTGCTGATGGTTCTTGTTTCAAATTATAGTAATCCTTCTGGGACCTTGTATAAGCCATGAGTTTACTTGTATGCTTCAATGAGGTCCCCACGCAGACGTCGATAACTGAGGCTCGGAAGCTTCATAATCTTTCATCTTTCCTCATAGGACTTGCCTTTCAAGCCCGGAATTATCCATGTTGCACGTCTTTGAACACTCTCTATTATTTTTTGTCCGTTTCAAGTTTCGGTGACCACACGACGTTTCCAAACTCTAGGTTCGGACGCACGACGGCAACAAACTGCTTCATGGCTTCTGCATCTAGGAACTCGAAAGAGCGTATGATCAGTCCAAGTCGTTTATTGGCTTTCCGCTTTATTAACTTGACCTTCAATATGCTTAGAAAATTTCAACTCATTGTCAATATTAACCCCTAAATCTTTTCCATTGTCGACTTCGACAGCATCACTCTGTAGTTGCAACCGTGTCTAATATCGTTTTACTAATGTTTCAGACTTTCAGTGATGTAAGAATTTCAACGTGAATATCAAAAGTCATGCAAGAACGCCAATACTTTAAAGCAATAACCCACGATGAAGAGAGGTCAATAGTATCGAAAATCTAATAGAAAATATCTACAGAACTCCTATGCTCGAGTCGACAAATTTGTTCCAAGTCAATTAATTCGATCGCTCTCTGTAGGCTAAGAGAGGTCCTTTACTTTTAGAGGTCCATGGCCGCTTTGAAGGATAAATCGCCAATTTCGTGGCGTCCACAGAGGAGATTAATATCGTTTGGTACTCATCAACAGCAAAAAAAAAATTCGTAACCTAGACGAGTCGTAGAAATAACATGTTCAGGGACTAATGAAACTCAAGACAATTTTATGAGTTAAATTACAAATTATCTTCAGCACTATTGAATTTATACGAGAGTAGACGTCCCAGATTTGACCCCAATGTGTTCGAGAAATATATCGCAGTGTTTCGCTCCGTAGAATCATTGTAAGAAGATGGTCTGATCTTTGGTGGGTTAATTGGGAACTAATCTGAAAAAGTAGATTGCTCTCTACAACTAAGTGTCCATAGCATATTAAACCGAACTGATGATGGAGCTGGTCTAAGAAACTTTTTCATTGAAGACATAGTGAATTTACTTGGCGTTTTCTTTGATTTCAAGTCCTTGGTGAACTTGCGATTTTAGTAGACTAATTATATAAATATTGATATTAAATCGCTTCCACGGATGCCAAAATATATGAGGTCCCGGCAAGTAAAACAAGGACGACTACGTAGCCTCACAACTACTGTTTACGAACAAGAGGTCTCGAAATCACAGAATTGTAAGCCAAAGAAATATAGGCGCTTCAAACACCGTTAACTTCGAAATTAATTTTCATTATTTAAGCAAAAACAAGTTTAAATATCTAAAAACCTCATTCAAACAAGCGCATCGACTGCCACTCATATTGAATCCCAGACTTAAAATTTGTGGGTTTCTAATTCAATTGACTAATTCTAATTCAATTGACTCGTTCAAATTGTGGGTGTAATGAAGTGTTGCTGCAAATTTCCCACTACTGCGTGTCAGACTATGAAGTTTAAGTAGGACCGACTCTGACGTCGGTGTAAATTTAGTATAGCCGTCAGATACTATGCCGATCCCGACTTGCGTCCTGGTTCCTCTCATATAGGATTTTGACTCAGACGCCAGGGTGAGTTGCGTGCTATGGTGGTGAAATCTAGCTTGGAATACTTGAATCCAATCCTTGGAATACTTGAAAATATCGTGATTTTTGTGTATATATGACTTGTCATGCGTAGATGTTTACTTTCTGTTTTCTGTTGTAGGATCGTGCGTTTTCTCATATCTTAATGCTCTAGCTCTCTCCTCGCATTTTGCTCTCATCGCACTTTAACTTCCTCCGCATTTAACTTGTTAGTTCGTTCATATGCCGCACCTCTGTAAATCATTAGTGTTATTTGTTTATATTTATTTGCCGTTTATCTTTAATAAACTTAAAACGTTTGTTCGAGTAACTATCCGCTCAGTCCAAGCTCTTGCTGATAAAACCAATAGGGAAGTTGCAATTGATTTCCGGTCATTGGTGGACGTGACAATTAGACCATCCGAACTTTTGGGGTGACGCGATTAATTAGCAATTATTCAAGACTAGTTCGTCACAGTGGGTTTTTCCTAATTCTCGAGTGAATTGAAATTTGTGGGTTTCTAATCAATTCTCACATTCACTCATTGATAGTTCGGGTCTGTTTGACCAAAATCATATTTTACTCGTCGCAGTAGGTCATAAATCATGATATTTATAACACGGGGGGTA